CACAAACACAGAAAAACACACTCTTTCTAGTCACTGCAGAAAACAGACTGACCCCAGGCCATATACAAAAGACTGACGAAACAAAAAATAAGACAAAATCACGTGCAACAGGCAACGTTACGGCCAAAAGGGTAATATGGCCTCAACATGTGGCAGAAAGTACTGTTGCATTCCTTTGATGCGACGACTAAAAACCGACAACTGATGGTTCGTCCCGGATTAGTTACGCGTGTCAAATTTGTTACACGTACCATGCAACAATTTTCCGTCTCCACTAGCTGTAACGTAACATGTTCGGTGTTACGTTACAGGGCATTTGACACAACTGGATACCCACCTTTAATCCTTCGGGAATGGGGGATAGGCCGAAATGTCCCTGTACGTTGGCCAGCACGAAGTCCTGATATGAATCCTCTGGACTTTTTTGTTTAGGGGTGTATGAAACAAGTAATTCTTTTACTCGTTAAACGAGATTTGAATAAATTTCATCAATTTCGAACACACAATTTAAACCGTCAAAACCGCCATCAGCGCTTTCGTACTGCAGCGCGCGGCAACTTCGATATCAGTCGTACAGCTGGCTGCCGCACCAGGGGCGGCTTTAAATTTGTTGAACCTGAACTTGAAACTGAAGGCACCAGCACAGATTATATTTTTTATTTAATTAATTTCTATAATCTATATTCATATACGAGTATATTGATGTTTAATAAAATAAAAAATGTAACTAGAATGTGATCATTCTGAGTTTTCTGTTTTACATTCATCTTGCGAATAAAAAATAATTTATTACGTCAGCGTTTTCAAATATGTGGAATACTGTTAAATCATCAAATAATTTCACGTAGCCCGAACGCAACGGTTTCGTTTGAATCGGCCCGTTTAATTGGCCCTTTATAACGCCGCAATTTTACAAAAGGATAACTGAATATTCCAACGGAATTTCATTATCAGCACTGTGTATTATGAAAAGCGCGGCGAGTGGAGATTTTTATTTTTTTTACTGGATTTTTGCCTCTCTTTCTTCACATTCGCTTAACCATGGAAAATTCCGAATAAGGTCTCCCTAAAGTGTAATATGTTGAATTTTATTTACATACTGCGGTGTCTTTTTTCCTTTTTCTCTTGCAGTGGGTATACAGAACACATTATCACATCAAACATACTGCAGGATTTAAAATTATCAAAGTCGGAACTAGTCATGCAGGAAAAACTCGATGTCTGGAAAAAGTTTTTCCTAAATACAGTTCACAACAAAATCGATTAAAAATTAAAAGTTGTAAAAGTTTACCATTTTGGATTAGATATTAGTAATTATTAAAGATTTTAAGTTCTTCAATGTTGTATTGTGGTTTGATAAAACATATTTCTTCGAAGTTGACCCATTTTCGAGCGTTTCGTAGACAAAAATAGAACTGTCAGATTTTAATATTCATTACTACAAGCCAAAGAGACTAAACAAATCAGTTAGCTAGTTAGTTAAAAAGATGGATTAATACATGTTTAAAATTAAAATGTAACTATATCTATCCCCGCATTTCAGTGGAACTTTTATTTTAAAATTGATTTCCTCATAATTTTTTAATTGTACCCCTCTTTGTACAATTATTGATGTTTATAATACAGGGGTATTTATATAATATTCTATTCCGTTTATCTTTTTTGCCTTTCTAGCTTGACAAAAAATAGATTAAAACTTAAAAAAAAATTTTGTGATTTTAAAGAATGTGTATAAAGAAAAAAATTAATATATTTTAACTCAGAGATATGAACCGATCTTGTGTATTTTTATTGAGACACCCTGTATATTGGTCATATTAAGAGATGCTGAATGAGATTCTGTTTTTTGGAAAAAAATCGCTAATACCAATTAGCCGTTTTGACGTCAAGAAAACGTGTCCTATTTGGCCGTGTATAGCGTTAATAAAAACAGCAGTATCACAATTACAGTTTATTTAACGTATATTCAAAAATTTTTTTTTTAAATCGATCAAAAAATAAAGAAGCTACAGGCTTGTATCACATTTAAGCGCGACACCCTGTATATAAAGAGTGTCTCAAAATTCACGCAATAAGTAATTTTGATAGAAAACATAGGTTTTAAATTAAAAATTAAAAACACAGTATAGCCATAGTACAGTATATTGAATAGCATATCGGGCCTCCATGGTTTTGCTGACACATAAACAATCTTTTGTCGAAATTTTCCGTGACGGTTTTGCATAAATGTGTCTGAATTTCGTTGATATAGGGCTCAATTTCTTCCTTCAAGGTGCGGGTGGTCGTTGGCATAAACCTTAGATTTCAAAAAAAATCCAACGGCGTTATATCACATGATCTGCGCGGCCAATTCTGATCACCAAAACGGGAAATTACACCACCAGTTATGTAGTAATTGAGTTGTTTCTCGGGTTGTATGATATGTGGCACCGTCTTGTTGAAACCTCATGTCGTCTACATCCATATTTTGCAATTTAGGCACAAAAAACTGGATTATGTCACGATAGCGAGCACCATTAACTGTTATTGCCTGACCAGCCGCATTTTCGAAGAATGGTCCGATAACGTGGATGCATTTGTTTCTCAACAATCACTCCTGAATTTTCTGAATGCCAAATGCGATAATTTTCTCGATTGACGAATTGTCAGCTGTCATGCTGTTTTTTTCTGTTAGCAACACTTTACCGCACAAAGGCTCAAAATTCAAATCTTATATAAATTTTGAGACACACGATACAACATGTCAAATATTTGTTTTGATTTGCACAATATTTTTTATTATTTACCGACTCTGTACAAGTAATATTGTCGAGATTGTTATGGAACCAGTACGTGTATATGCTCTTGATGCTGTTAAATTTATTTAATAAATTAATAAAATAATAATAAAGAACAAATATTCCAAGTTTTCCGCCCGATTCCCAAGTTATATGAGTCACATACTTCGAATCTTAAGGCGGTTTTCCACTAAACGGACAAAACAATAATAAAACACAAACTTGTGTCGAATAAAACAGAACTGTAACTTTTCGCAAACTTTTTAAAGACTGGCGTGTTTTGCGACAGTTGTAGTTTTGTTTTTCAGGTCCCGCTCGAAAGCGGTCACATCAAAAGGTTTTGACGTGTTTTGAAACTCAAGTTTGTTTAATGGAAACGGTCGTGTTGTGTTTTCTACTTAAGTGATCAATCCCAATATCTATGTTGGCGTTTTCTTCTTCCCAAAAACAATATTTTAATGAATTACAGCTGTTAAAAATATATATATATGTGTACAGTTAAGGTGTTTACTTGCTAGTATACAAACTAACTAACCAAGTAAACACTTTAACCGTACATATATACACTTACTTTTTTTCCAAGGACTTCAGTATAAACCAGCCATAACTAAGAATAAAAAAATCTTCTCTAAACATGTTGGTTGGTTATTGGAAAAATGTGTTCTGACTTCCTCGCGACAACCAGTGGAAAAGGAACGAAAACAAAAACAAAACTCGAACAAAATGTAGCCCGCTTGATGAAAACAAGAGTTTTGGGTTTGTTTCAGTTTTGTTTTTATTTTTCGTGTTCTAGAAAACACAAACAGGACATAAACTCAACTGTCCGTTTAGTGGAAAACCGCCATTATCAAACAACAAATACTACTTGTGGATTATAAATGAGTTCGTTTATAAGAGAAATTTGGTTAAAAAAACGTCCTTTGCTTAAAAACGCATAAATATGCATTGGTTCCATGAATTTAAGCAAATATACAAGATGTATAGATGTACAGTTGTATTCAGAAAGAATGATCCATTTGTTTTTGAGTTCCCAAGAAAATTTCGTTATCATTTTTTTTTCTACCTATGTAAAAGGCTAAGAAACATAAAATGAGTAGAATCACATACTCCCGTATAGGGCGATGGAAAAATAACTACTATAATTATTGGAAATAGAAAATAATAAGGAATTTTACATAAAATGAAATATTATTTTCTTTTAAAAATGGAGGGTGGGTATTTGTTATTCGATTTATTTTCGCTTTCTTCTTTTCAAAATGAAGCATAGAGAACTCTTAAATACGCACTTTTTAAAATTTATTTTTCATTATCAAAGTTAATTTGTTAATGTTTTTCATCTCTACCTAAACCTAAAAGGAATTTGTACTTTCTTCTTAAATCCAATAATAATCCAGTGAATATTAAATTAGTTACCCAATAATTTTTTTTTGTTTTGTGATTTAATAATATATATTTTTATGCTTTATCTAAAAAAAAAACGAAGTAAATCGGATAACAAACACCTTTTTTGCAGAATAAAAATTTAAAATTAAATTTTATTGCATATATGTATTATTCTTTATTGAAGACAATTTTAATAATTAAAAATATTCTTTAATTGCAATTTGTTGTAAAATTAATATGTCAAATGAGTTCTTTTATTTATCCAGTATATTATGGAGACTTCATTGTTTACGGGAATTCAATTATTCTCTTTTTTACAAAAAAACAGTAAAATAGACTGGCATATCTATAAATGTTACGGAAAATACTATTCGAAAGAAAAATTCTCTTTACTATTAGAAATCCTGTATTGTATAAAAATCATATATGTTTTATAGGGTATTTTGTATTTAGATTTATATTAACGCTGATCGTAACCTGTAAATGCTCCTCATTTAACGGTTTCTCTTTGTTCGTATTGATTAAAGGTTTTATTGAAACAACGAGACAGTGTTAAAATGTGAATATGTATCGACATTTCGTAATTTGTTCCACATTGAATTTGAAAATTGACTGCAATAAATTAATTACTGCCATGTTAATGCAGTTCATTGTTGAGAACGGTGGATTGATTGCACTGTATTCTCCCGATTTATTTATTGTCCATTGCCTCTCTTTCCATGTTAGTGACTTTTTTATGTTTTTGTCCGACAGTCCGAAAAGACTTAACACTGCGACTGCAGTTCAGGTTCTTTAACCACAGGAAAACGCCCCTAATCAAGTGAAGGTACAAGTATCGTGATAGTAGCTTCCTAACCAGACATCCGTTTTGTGTTGCATATAATTTAGTAGCTTATTAACATGCCATAACTGAGAGATATTAGAGAATGTTTCTTATAAATAGTAAATAATGAAAACCTTTAAAACTGAACAGTTCGATGGAATTTAACATAAACGCAGTATAGACTCGAATATCTTCTCGAGTTAAAAATAATATCCTTGATTCACATATTAGTGACATAGTACGCCAAATGTTACAGATCAAATTGTAGTGGGTGTTAAATAATGTATTCCCAGTATACAAATGGATGAAAATTACTTGTTTTATAAATGCAGGTAGTTAGATTGTGGTCAAATGGCTGTTTTCCAATTTTATATTAAAGCAGGATTGCAAAATATTGCAGATAGGGGGGTATAAATTATCGTTCTGTGTCAGATAATAATGCTTGACATATAGTGTATTCTTTTTACTCACCGAAACAGAATGGAATATTACGTATTTTTATTACTTCTAAAAGTAATGGCTTTAAAGCGTAATTTCCTACAGTTGCAAAATGAACTGTACAAGTACCTATTACCTTTTTTTTGTGACTCGCTCAAATATTCTTTTTACGCATCATTTTGTTTAGTAATTTTAATAACACAAACGTAATAGATAAAAGTATAGACTTATAGCTAATATTTGATTAATAATAAGTATAAAACAAAAAAAAATGTGCCGCAGTAGCGTAAAGTTAAAGGATGTTTTATAATTTTGCGCTCTTTCAACATTTGTCAGATACATACAGTCGCTACATTAGCAAAATGACTTCAAATTAAGGCATGTTTTTGAAAAGAAAGCTTCATTTAACCAATTTACACTGTTGAGCACAATAGTACACACCTAATACTTACTTAGAATTTTTGAAAATTTATGAACAATTTTATTTACCGTTCCTTTTGTTTCAATAGTTATCATTCAGGTAATATAAATAAGAAATTTTGCTTAAAACATTGTCATTGTAACCGTATTGGTTTTGCCATATTATTTTTTTAATATTTTTTTCAGTTTTAATGCATTAGCTTTCTTTTTAAACCCATATCATTAAATGTGTTGTCTAAATTTTTAGCTATTATAAGTTTCCTTGAATTTTTTCGCCTTCAGAAATTTATCTGTTTTTGGATTAATTGGAAACTTACATCACAGTGTGTATTGAAAAAATTTAGTTACGCGTTCCCTAAAAGTTCTTTTATATTTATTGAATGAAACCAGTACTTCCGCATCGTCGAATAAATTATGGGAAAACTGATTATTTTGGCACATATTTTAATAATTTTGTCAGGGCGAGAGAAAATAAAAGAAAATAATTATTTACATTTTCAAAAAAAAAATTGAGATTATTGAATATAGATACTAGGAAATGAGTAGTATCATAACTAAAATATTTTGTTGAAACACTTTAATAAGAAATTACAGTTGACAGGGAATAAACCTGAAACTTTATATTCTTAAAAGCGTTATTTCCGCGAATGTCGGTGGAATAATTTCTGCATTTACTTTTACCATCTTTAGTGTGGGAGGAATACCCAATTAATTAAAAGAAAGTTACTGAAAATGCCACAAATAAATAAATTATAGACAGTATCATGCTTAGTGTCTAGAAAATTATTATTTTTATTATTAATAAGTTCAGTTCATAATTGTTTTTTTCCTTACTCAAATCAAAAATGTATTTGCTGAAGCTCCTTCCTTTTAATTTTATTATCAACTAAAATGATTGCGAATGAACTGATTACACAGGACTACAAAAAAAATGAGTGGAGGGTTACTTGAACCAGACCAAGTGGATTATATGTTTTTTGGGTCGCTAAAACTATGAAACCCAACAATATCAACTCTTAAACCATATAACCCGATACTTTCATAACTCAGTAACTTTGAGATCGATACCCTATAACTGTAGAACCCATAACCTGAAAATCTATAACCCCAAAACTCATAAATCTCAAATCCCAATAAACTGCAAACACAAAATGGGCATAAAACAAAAAAACTTACACGCAAAACTGAAACCTCAATATCGGAGAGAGTTTTAACTTTATAATTCTATACATCCATCATTTCATAACCATAAACCCCACAAACCCCATAACTCTGAAGTCCCATAACCCTGAAGTCCCATGACCCTGAAGTTCCATAACCCTATAACCCCAACAGCCTATAACCCCAGTGATCCAAAACCGCATAACCCTATATTATATTGTGACATGCAATTTTCTTATGTTACACTTCAGTGTTATGGAGTTTATGGATTATGAGGTTATGAAGTGATGGAGGTGTAGAATTATGAAGTTAAAACTCTCCGAAGTTGAGGTTGGAGTTTAGCTTGTAAGTTCTTTTTGCTCATTTTATGTTTGCAGTTTATTGCGATTTGATATTTATGAGTTTTTATGAGGTTATAGATTTTCAGGTTATGGGATTTAGAGTTATAGATTATCGATCTCAAGGTTGTTGAGTTATGAAAGTATAGGGTTATATGGTTTAAGGGTTGATATTGTTGGGTTTCATAGTTTCAAGCAGTTTTTTGAGGATAGAAAAAAACGCTGACGTGATGGGGCAAAACAGGTTTCGGATTCGGTTTCAGCGACCCAAAAAATATATAATCCACTTGGTCTGGTACAAGGAATCCTCAACTCATTTTTTTTTGTGGTCCTGTGAATTGGTATTGGAACAGAATTAGTTAAAGTAATATAATTATTTAAAATTTCTCATTTTGGCTTTAGACTTTGCGAGAACTCGGTAGTAAGATATTACGTGTGTGTTTAACAAATTAAACGAATTATCTATCATTAGGGTTGGTTTGTATCCATCTGGAACCATGTTTTTTATTCTATAAAATTAAGTTAAACATATCTTCGTTGTTTCCATTTAACTCAAAATTCTAAAATATTAAAATATTGTCAATTTTTTTATTTTTGAACGGTTATGATGTATAACCTTTCTATGATAACAATTTATATCCTAGTAAATGTGGATATATATTCTCTTTAACGTAAAAGGTCAAAATATTTAATTTATATCTTTTTGATAATGGATTTCGGTTCATCATTTATTTGGATAACAACGAATGCCTAGTTAATTATTTACTTGTGTTTACAATGTAACTACACATTAAAATATTCAGTGGTTTTAAATCGACTATAAACATATTTACGGAATTTAGTTTTGCATTCATATTAATTATGTGGCAAATATAATAAACTATTCATTGCCGGTGGTATTATTGATGTAGATAAAACTTAATTTTGTTGTTGTTGCCAACTGTCGAAATATTTGGCAGCAAGCAAGCGAATTGAGGAAATTTATTATTTAAATAATAATTACGCTCTCCATATTTTTTTATTTTTTTCCTATTTTTAAACAAATTCTACACTTACTGGGTTTATCGTATTTTTTTGTATTAGGTGATATTCGTAGGTAGGTATATTATATGTTACTAACAATGAAACTGTTGTTACATACTTGCGACATATTTCATATTTTAATTATTTATGTACATTTGTAAACTAATAAAACCCACAGTTTTTTATTATATACACAAAGAATTTTGTTTTTCCGACCAAAAAGTGTACCGTACTACACAAAGTCTACACGTTTTTATTTCATGTTTGTCATTGTTACAACAGAGGTGGAAATGCGTATAATTTGTTATGACTTTGCCTGAAAAATGAATGATTTCACACTAACTGGAATGAACTTAGTACCTATTAATAATGAATGAAAATATGTACTGTTTAAATTTACTAACAGCAGAATTGTTTTGTATTTAATTTTATTAAATAATTCTTGTTTTCAGCATGTCAGTACATTAATTTACTAAGTTGCCATTTTTGAACAATAGTATTTTTCTGATTGAAAAATGTTTATATAATGTCACTAAATGTGAGCAAATAGATTTACTTTTGTAGGTTGTTGTTATTGTTTTAAATTAATCCAGTAAAACTACGCCTAAATTATTTTCCATTCAATATAAAAATTATTATATTAAGCAGTTGCAAGTACTCTTTCATACTAAACATCTAGGTGTAAATCTAGACGTAGATAAAATTTAGTATAGACGTATAAATATCCTCACTCGTAACAAAGAAAATAAATTGTACCTCTCATGTTGAAATCATTGAATACTTCTTGGGTATGAAATTGTCTTTTAACATATAAGTATTTAAAAATTTGGTATCAGAGAGTCCAAAGTAATGTAGAAATAGAAGTGCCGATGATAAAAATGTGTAATTATAAATATTTCAAATGTTATTTTTAAAATTTTCATTGTGCTTAAGTAAAATCATTCCTAATTACAAGTGGTAACATTTTTTTTATTATCATTTTTTTGGAGTCCTCTCGAACCCTTGGGGTTGAATCTCGAACTCGAAGTTCTATTTTCGCAGCCGCATCATTGCTGTCTGTGCCTAATTGCGACCTTTTTCACCGAAAAAACTGAAATATCTCCATCCCTGCGGTGCCTAATTGCACAACTTTTGTCACAAACATTGTTCAGGAATGGCAGCTTTGAACATGGGCGTCCGCAAACGTTTTCGAGGATGATGAAAACTGTATCTAGCATAGGATAATTATTGTTAAATTATATATTTTATTAATTTTTATTTTAGTTTTGTTCAAATTCAAAAATTGTTCTTTTCGTGAATTTTATGTTTTACATTTTGTTGATTATTTAATATGATGACAATTTTTAATATTTCTTCAGCAATAATTTTTTTTTTTGCATTCAACAAGATTTGCGGGCGTCCGTGTATTGGATATTTTCCATCTCTTCTCTGGGTGCTCCATAAACCACATCCTATTTTAAATGTCCTCTGTTCACAGAACGACGGCTGTCTCGGTTGGGTGCGACCAGCTCATAAAATCTGTAGTCGTGATTACGTATGTACCATTAAACTACCAACCAGTTGTCCTCTCTATTTATCTTGCAATGTGGCTTTGGTGGGCAGCAGCTGTCTTACGCTTCAACTGAGTTTTTGAGACGAACGTTGCACCTAATGCTTCTGAATTTTACAATAAAGGCGTTTGCGGTTTTAATGTATAAGCGCCTAAGCTTTTTTGGGTTTTTATTGAGTAGCAACATGTGTTGTACTAACTGCATGATCGCTTTTGTCTATTGGAGTGGATATACACCTAATAAATAACCTGTGTTTAATTGTAAAAATTAAATGTCATAATTTTGTAGTTGTATTAAAATATAATTTCTATGACAAAATTAGCTCCTTTTTTGACTCGTATAGCTGTGTTCGCATTAATGAGACGTAGAGACTTTTCATATTTTTAAATATTTCAAATATTCCTCGTTCGTTATAAAGAGCAACAAATTGAATAACGGTTTGCATTCTTTTTACCAAATTTATTAAAAAACCATGGAGATTTTATGCTCTTTAAAACAAAAATGGTAGTTGACATATCTCAAAAAATTTAAGATTATACTAGTAGCGGCAGGTGGATCTAGAAATAGGGAGGTGAATTTTATACGGTTTACATCTCTCCAATAATGTATACAGGGTGGTCCGAATTTTATGCAGGAAACTTCGAGGGTGGATAGATCTCTTTAAAATAATATGTGTTTGCCTTATAAACAGGTCTGGAACGGCCCCGTTTTAGAGATACGGGGTGTTGAGGTTTAAAAAAAAATTTTTGTTTATATCGTACACTACCTCAAAGGTGGAGTACAAAGGAGTGTAAATAATTGCACTTACTTTTAAACATAAACGAATATTATCGTGTCTGCCTCAAGGGGATTGTATTGGTATGAATAACTTGAGAACGGCGAATCTTAGGGAAAAAATTAAAGTCACCTCTTTTACGTATTTTATGCATTAAAATATAAATCAGTTACAATGACATGTAAAAAATGCAGTGGCGTAGGTTTTTTTGTAAAAAAAAGGGTGACCCCCGCCCAGTTGTACACCACTGGTTGAACCTTTAAAGCTCATATTTCATGGAATATAAGGCCTACTATCATACATTATATGTACCAAATTTTATTGAGATCGGTTAATAGATTCCGGAGATATAAATACCCTATATCTCCAAAAGGTGCCGTTCCAGACCTATGTTTATAAGGCAAACACATAATATTTTAAAGAGATCTATCTGCCCTCGAATTTTCCTGCATAAAATTCGGACCACCCTGTATAGCCCAAGGAAATTAGACAAAAAAGGAGGAAGCTTTGACAAAATTCCCTCCAAACTGAATTTTTGCACACGTTCTTTGAGGTGTCCCAAACCCAAATCCAAAAAAATCCCAAAAATCACAAGATAGCTACCCAAAATATTGCAGGTCAAAGTATCTCACGTTCTATGTATCGGACATCCGTTTGTTGTGAAAATTGTAAAAAATGTAATTACCTATAAGATTAATGTCTTGCATTTTTTTTTAATCTTCGCCCTTTTGGAAATATTCAAGGTCAAAGTTTTGAAAACAAGGTTTTTCGCGAATATCTCGCGCTTAATGCATTGAGCAGCGAAATAGGTGTAGAGAATTCAATTATCTAATTATCTGCAAAATTGGTCTCCTATATTTTTCCTCAAAACTTTTTCAAGATATTCAAGGTCAAAGTTGCAAAGAAAACGATTTTTCGCGAATATCTCGTTTCCTATGCATCAGACGTCCATGAAGTCAATGTAAAAGTTGTAGGGAATATAATTATCTGCAAGACTGGTAAATTTACAGTTTCTAAAAAATATTTTTGAAATTGCATTCGTTTCCACACAGATAATTAAATTCTCTACAACTTTACATACCAACAAAACTTGATTTTGAAACTTTGACCTTGAAAAGTGCGAGGTTTCGGGTAAAAATTCAAGAGACCAATCTTGTAGATAATTAAATTCTCTGCAACTCTCACAAAACGTGAGCTAATTGCAAAAAAATTTTGACCTTCAATATCTTGGAACTTGGGTAGATACCCATGTTTTTGCGGATTTGGGTTTGGGACACCTCAAAGAACGTTTGTGCAAAAATTGAGCTTGGGGGAATTTTGTCGAGGTCAAATGCTAGTTTCCCTCGGCCAATATAACAAATTGATCCTTCGATCCTTTTGAGATGTTTTAGAGATATTGCAATTTGATGATTTAGTTTGCGATAGTAATTAAGATACCAATCTTATAAATACCGCTGAAAAATATAGTGAAAATAAATTTTATTTACATACTGGAGTTAGAAGCGGAAAATGTCCAGTATGTACAGTACCTCCTTTGTTTTTTAACCTTTTTATCCTAGAAAATATGTAAAACATTACTAGATATAGACGGAAAAGAACGAGATTAAAAATAATTACAATTCTTCATTTAAAATTGAGATACTATTTTTTATTATTTTTCAATTTATGTACTCAATGATAAAGGTAATTTAAAAATAATTTATATGCATACTTAAGAGTAAGTACTTGTAGTTTGTTTTAATAGAACTGTTCAATACCATTTGCCGAATTTCATTACAGGACAATTGAAACAATTTGGTAGATAGATTCTACGCATAGGCGGAAGAGAAGTGCTATTGGTCCTATAACCAGGAAATTAGAATTTAACTGATTGTATCCATCCAAAGGCCATGTTTGGTTTTGTGGTGAAGACAACGGTCATACTACTATAGATATTAGATCTAATTATAGACAGACGATTAACAACGATTATTTATATATACATTTTTCTCGTTGCAGTAAATCACGAATGATAATTTATTAATCAGCTTACGAATGTGTATGGGTTGTGTGTTAATTATTCAAATCCTAGAACAACATTTAATGAATTAAGCCCTAAAGCTGAGTTGAACAAACCGCAAGCTTCAATACACAGGCATTCGCAAACTAGTCGTCATTCTGTCGATACCTTTGTACATGCAGGATTTCCTTTCAATTCAATTTGTGTATTTGCGGATAAATAGGGTTGCAGGGATACCTGAATGTCACTATTTTCATAGATATAATATACGTGTCACCGGGAGCAGTAGAAACTGTTACATCATAGGACTTTGTTACTGAAATTACGTTTATTTTCAAACTTCACCATAAAAATCACTTTACTTTCTACAAGAACGTTATGTTAATCGAAAAAATACTTTGTTGTTAAAATGCTGTATATTTCCCTCTGTGAACAAATCTCTAGATAAGAGAACGAACATCTTTAGATCATATTTCCATTATTTTTGCCATGGGGGATGTGTAACACATTTCCGTCAGGAGAGTTAGAGGAGTTATCTGTAAGTTATGTCGGCACAGAACATTAAAGTCGGATTAAGCTTCACGTTATCTGTGATAGATAGTTTTAAGAACAAATCTAGGTACTTTGATACTTTGTATAATATTATTATGGGGCGTATGTTTTTATTCTTATGCTTAGTACAACTAACTGTGAACATATATTATTTATTTTATTTGTTTTAGCTAAATGCTTTTTATAAGTAGAGGCTGAATGGATATTTGTTTATTGCTTCGTTAGAGTACTTATTATCAGAGGTGTCTTTGGGAACTAATACGTTCTACATTGTTTTGGTTCTAAGAACCCTCTGTAAATAAATTTAGTCCAAAGCGCTATTTTATTATGTTTTATGTATTTTTATTTTATTTATTTGTTATGCTGTTGTCATTTGAATATTATTTTTTTTAATTTTTCCAAACGTGGAAAACATTTTAAATTGTGTATGAAAAATCTAATATATGAAATATTCAAATGATAGGTCTCCCTTATGTTTATAGTAAAAAAAATATAATTTGAAATAACAGAATTAATAAATTCTGTGTAATATTTACTGTGGCTGATAGGTTTTGCAATATGAACGGTCTAAAATTCCACCAATTTGTTCGGGGATTTTTCGTTGAGATACCGTCTATAAAACTCAAGGGATTTAAATCGAGTTATGTCCATTTCAAAAAGTGTTTTCCCATGTGATACGTTCTCCCATGCCGTAAGCTACGGAGCCGTATAAATAACTTTAATATTTTTATTCAACTAAGGTTTTATACAGTTTCTAAAAGCGATTTTGCGATAAACTTATTGTCGTTAAAATAATAAATTCTACGATCTTCCAAATTGATTTGTGAAACTAAATTTTTAATAAATCGTTCAAGATTAGTAACAATGGAAAACCATGTTTGATATAATGCAGTATCCTTATAGTATTTAATTTCCTTCAAAGTCTAACCAGCGAAAATGGTAGAAGTATTATAAAACTGTCTTATGGCAGAGAGAATTTTATTATTTGGCTAGACCATTTTTTTGTCTATGTCTTGAGTCCAAAACAATTCACCCTGCTGACGATGTTCCTAATACTATCAGCACCTTTTTTAACTGTTCATGAATGAAAAACCTAAAGAGAAACTAAATTTTGGTTCGAAATAGTGCATTCAGATCACTAAGCTGAAATCTCTGACTGATTTTAGTTAAAATATTACGTAACAACTAATATGAGAGAAATGCTACTACATTAGTCACAAACATTAAAGGATATTAAAAAATTTCAAATTTCTGTGTGGTTTTCAAACTTGGAAGGAAATAGCCGTAGAGAATAAAAAAAGGAAATTGAAGCTTCAAGTTTCCAGTTTTCGGATCTGGAGTTTAAAATATTTTAGCATCAGCGGTTTTTTGAGTAATCATAAGAAAACCAACGAAAAAAAAATGTCTATGGACTTCAATTTTTTTTTTGTAATATCACCATAAAGTTCTTTTGGGCACTTTTATATAATTTAATTCCCTTCAATTTGAGCGGTTCCCTAGCCCTGTACGATTATTGTCGATGAGTTATCGTTGATCAAAGCAAAAAAGTCATTTTTGACTTTGCCAATCAGTTACTCGGGAAGTAATGGTCGTACTTATGTACGGTCCAAGTAAGGTTTTGAAAACTGCAAAGTATTCTCTACAAGTTGTAATTATTGGTTTTTGATAAAAAAAATGTTTCGAAGTGTAAGTATTGATTGGAATAAAGGTAAAAAATTGCACAATTAAGGATATTTGAATAACTTGGCATAACTTTGTTCAAATAATGGATAAACTAAGGATATTGACTGTTTATTTTCAACCTCAAAATGTCCTACAGAAACCCTGATAGTTTCAAAGCGCTAAGACTTTTTCATTTGTTCCCGGCATATTTAAATTTGTCGTTTTTGCTGAAAATTAATGTAATTTTTCACTTTTTATTTATTTTTTAAGTTGAAAATGTGTTTTTAGCAATAATTCATATTTTTTTTTCATCAAAAAATGTTATTTGTATACAAATGAAAAAAAAAACTAATACAAAAATTTTCTTTCAATTCTTTTTTTAACATATCCATGCTTCACAATCGGCAAAAATATTTTCTTTTAAATACAATTTAAAAATTAATTAAAGAAAGTTGATATACCGCTGTATTTCAGTTTAAATCGTTTATATAAGCTTTCTAAAAAAACTCCTTTCGCGAAATTCCGATTGGCTCTCTCTTAAAGGAAACTAATTACGCGAGCTACGCCTGTTGCAGTAAACGTTGCCGTGGCATATAGAAGAAAAAATATTTTGCCAAAATGAAAAATTACTGTTTTGCTTTGGCAGCGACAAATCATCGTACGGGGCTCCGGAAACGCTCAAATTGAAGGGAATTGAATTATCTAAAAGAGCTTTACGGTGAAGTTACCAAAAAAATTGATTGCAGTCTATAGACCTTTTTAAGGACAAGCAAAAAATTTGAAACATTTTTTTCGTTGGTACTCTTGTGATTACTCAAAAAACCGCTTACGATAAAAAAAAAAATAATTCCAGATCCAAAAGCTAGAAACTTGAAACTTCAAAAACACCCAAACTATTTGACATCGCAATATTTAAGGTCGTAGACCCTTTAGAAATCATTTTATGATAACGAAAACAATTTTACATTCGTCCTTTGTTTATTTATTTTTGTTTTTCCGACGATAGGGGTTATTCTTTAAAAGTTGTGTCAAAGTCGATGTTACACCATCTATTATATGGGTATCGCAGTTTAGATTTTACGAAATGGGTATTTTAAATATAAAAATGTTTACAAAAAACACCCTCTTTGAATTGGAACATAATCTCACAGTGCGCACTGAGTATATCTTCATTTTGTTCTATCAACTTGTATAATGAAGGATGAAAATAGTCTCAATGTTCATTGAGTGCAAATAAGTTGAAAACGCTGCTAGTAAAGTTGGTTGGGTTTTAGTAAAGCATAAAGTAAAATCTTCGAAAAACAATTAGACATTTGAAATGATATTTATTAAAAATTACCCTCAACATCTTCGAGAATATAATTTTTCAGAGTCAAAATTTCAGTCCGATTTAATTTTATTCTAAGTATAGTTGTGACTAGAAATAAATATAGGGGAGACTGTAGCTGTGACGATTATTATGGAAGAAGTTGAACTAGCTAAATTTTGCTTTTTACAGCCCGCAGGCGTCGGTTGGGAAAGCTTCCCAAAAATTACCTGGTGGGATATCTTTAAGCAACAACCTTTGTTTCGTCACTTACCTGGAGCCGCCTTTGGTGTTTTCAGCTCTGACCGGGCCAGCTATGCGTGTCTTCACATTAAAATGCTAAGTTTATTAAGTTATATCAGACTTTAATAATTAGGTTCTTTATGTGTCGTTATTTTATAGTATTTAAAAGTTATTTATCAGGTTTACCTCTTCAAAGTGTTTGTTTAAACATACGTAGTGCAATAGACGTATATTAATATACATTTTTAATTAACAATTCAGTTTAGGCTAGGGAAGAATTTTATTATATAAAAAATGGTAATTTTTCCGGGTACGTAGTTTATCACTGCCAAAAATGCTCGTCAATATTATTTTTTGATAAAAAAAACTAACGACACGACTATTATAAATTAGTGTAAAATTGTGATAAACTTAAGAATCAGAGTTTTTATTTAGAGGTGAACTGCAAATGTTGCATATATGTATAATTTAATATTAATATATAACCTATTTTATTAATATTTTAGTGATTATGATTGATGATTTGTCTGTAAATATTGTTTGCATTGTATTGTAGTTATTACATGTCAGCTTCGTGCTAGGTTTAAGTCGATGAAGCCTATTGCAATGCTTGACGGGATATATGAATTAAAAAAAATAATTAATCGCATTAAATTTACAATTTTAATAGTAATAATAAAAGCCCGTATTTTTCCAATTTTTATTAATTTTATTTTGTAAATAAAGACAAATTTATGAGCGCAGGTTGCTCTCTTGGATAATATTTTAACATGTTGGTGATGTCGGATACCTAAATATGTGTTTTATTATTATTTATTCGCTATTAAAATGGAAACATTTCATATGTCATTCGAATCACTTAATCTTCTCACACGTATTGATTGTAATAGATATTCTTATTGTAATTTACATGAAATACAATAAAAATAAAATGTGATTTACTTTTATTCCTTCCCAATTCAAAAGTTTCAGATTCGTCTCTTTTGTTTTTTTATAATTGCAGTGTCGTTCTATTGTTAAATGATACTTGCCGCAATAGTTTGATGAAACCATTTTTTTATAAGAAATTGGTCAAATAAAGGGATAAGGTAAGCTCTCTCATTATTTATACTATAGGAAAAGATGTTCTGTGAATCCTAAGGACCGCCCTTTTTTGAAATTGGAGAATAGATAACATTAATATTTGAATAACAGAGACAATATCATGCGATTTGATTGCCCCTTTTCAATATCTAAAATTTTAAATATATTTAAATATAATATTTTGTGTATTAATAACAATACACCACTGACACGAATATTGCAGGTTCTAGCATAGTTAGTATTTAACGACACAAATATGACTCGCGTTTTAAATTTTATTTACTAAAATCCGATCATATATTGAAAATTAAAAAAAAAATAATTTATTGTTGAATATAAGAAATATGACGATGAAACCTCTAACTATTTAAATGTGAATTTTTTCTTAAATTTTACTAATTTATCAAAGTTATGTTTCATAATAATATACCTATACCTACGTTTAACTGTTGCAATTGAAATATTGTATTTATTAGAAATTTTATAAATATTAATTTTATTGAGAAAGATTTTATGAAAATCATGTAGGTACTTACTTCGATACATAACCGATTAAAAAATACAACCTATGCTTATGATTAATTTAATTTTGTTATTAATAATACTTGAAACATTATGTAGGTACAGTGTGAATTAAATTTGGATTTTTTCCTATTTCCTGAAAAGATTTTTCGGATTTTCAGTTATCACGAAAACGTGTTTTTACATAGAACATCCCATGCCTACTATGTTTCGATCTAATAAGCTAATTTTTTGAGGGGCTTTTAAAACATGATAAACTAACATATTTTTCCAAGAGAAACGAAAAAAATTTTTTTGGGCCACCCTAATATACAGTATGGACCATTTTGGTGATGTATTGGCATCTTGGAAACTATAAGAGATAGGAAAATGGTTAAATGGGGAAAGTTTGAACTAAATGACGCTTGCAGATAGATCCTAGCTCTTCAAGTTTTTGAGTTATTTTGAAAAAAGTAAATGTGTCATTTTCGAAAATCTTTATTTAGAGGATTTTTTAAAATCTGAAACACTTTCACAGCAAGTTTTTTCGAGGAATTTCACTGTATATTTAGATTTTTATTGCGACGTTTCGGTTGTGAGAAAACATCTTCGATTTTTATTGTGGGCGCCATATTAAATTTTAAACTGAGCATTTTTTTTGGCTTTTCAATGATATAAGTAAGAAAAACAAACGACAACACCGCATAATTTTTCGAGACTATTATAGAATAGTCTTAAATTTTTGTAAAAGCTTATCATTAATGTCATGGCGTTGAATGAAAAAATGGTAGTAATGGCCTGAATGATCATGTATTTATGCAGAAAAGCCCATTAGTCTATCTCCATGACAATAATAATATTTTCATTGCCCCAGTTATTAGGTATTATCTTTTTCATAGTTTTTAGCATGTAGCTTTTCAAAACATCCAAATATTCTCACATTTGTAATACTTAAATTTAGAAAAATACATTTCATTTGGTGGTTGTGTTTCGAGATAATTTCCAATATAACTGTGTGAAGTTGCTTTTCTATTATTTTTAATAAAGCACTCCAACATACCACATTTTTCTTCATTGGAATAGCGCAGGGCGTAATTTTTTCACTCGACGCCATGACATTTTACAAAAATTTGAGACTATTCATAATAGTTTCGAAAAATTATGCGGTGTTGCCAGATTTACTAAAAATATTAAAATATTGATTTTTTGGGGTTCTTTCTGAAATTTGTTCTTATATTATTGAAAAGCCACAAAAATGCTGTAGGTATTTGCGCCCATAAGGAAACGAAACGTCGCAATGAAAATCTAAGTTACTAAAATTATTGAAGAAAATATTTACAAAAATTTTATCTTCATAAATATATAGTCGTCGTCTAAACCATGTGTCGGAAAATAGTAAGAAGCATTATTGGATGGAATGGACATAGACGTATTACTTACTTTAAATTGTCACAATTTTTATTTACCAGCAATTTTAGATCCAGCAATAGGACCATAATGTTCACTCACACCATTGATATTCGTTGCGCTTTTACACTTTTGAAAGCACGTTCCTTTTCATATCAGTCGTGATTTTTGGGGCAATAGTTTTCCCACGTTCTCTAATGCATCTGTTCTCAGTCTGAAGGAAGTTTTTATTCTTTAAATTCGTTTGGCACGTTTCTACTTTAACTGTGCAGAACAAAAAGGCAGCACAAAGCAGAACTGCGAGAACTAAATAAAACTGTAGCACAACAGTAGTTACTTATTCCATTACCATGCGTTCCCTGTAGTAATATTTACTACTAAACTAAACTAACTCGATTAGTAATACATTTTATTATTTCATGAAGGAAAGTCAAGTTATCCATGATTCAAAATTTGGAACTTCCAAACTGAAATGTCGTTAATTAAGGTTCTTCCATTCTTGAATGAGTGGTGAAAAGCGCATCTTGCTGCAACATTTAGTTTTGGAGATGTTTGATATTTTCGAAAATGCTACAAACGTCAGTTAAAAAAAACATGAAGTAACATCGAAATGATACTGATTGATGATAATGATTTAGATCAAAAATTTCTTTATTAAAATAGGCCTTAAATTTAACGAGAAATTAAAAGTGCAATAACATCGAAAAAATTATGCCCAAATGAAATGAAACAGAATGTGTAAGGGAAAATAATTTAAAATGTGAAGAAACTGATTTTGTGTAACATATTTAAAACAATATTTGTAGTATTGGTATTATCAGAGCTATGGTAGAATTCATGACAAATAGACAACCGTATGCGGGTACTTTACCATTGTTTTCAATTTCGTTGAAGCAAAGTTATTACCTTTATAGCAAGCGGTTCCTTTCCATTATACAAGGAGCATCTTGTGTAACAAAGTGACATTCTAGAGCGGTGGCTGCCTGTAACAAAAAATTCATATCTAAAATTTACATTAATAGAGGTCATTGCGCAAACACTTCGGTTTGACGTCTTTAACTTTAGATTAATTAAATGGATAAATAGACAACATCGGTAAGTATGTTACGAATTTTGACAGAAACATTGTAGGGAATATTTTATTAGGGTACTTATCAACAAAAAATAAAAGGTAGGTATCTGAAATCTTAAACAAAACATAACTTCCAAATTAAATTGAATTAAAAGATTAGCTGGTAGGATTTCATTTAAATGCATTGTTTGGTTTTGTGGTAAATAAATTGACCTTTTAAGTGGACTGTATATTTATTGACAAATGTTACAATATGACATGTATCAGAAGCCTACTTTTTTCTACGTTATTACAAACAACTAGACTTAAGCTAAGGAAACTAAGGAGCGTGCTCCGTCCATGCACTGTATAAAATCATAATTTTAATAAAAATTATAACATTGGCGCATTCGCCATATTTTCTACTTTTAGGTAGTGCATATAGTTTTTACTTAGATCTTAAGTATATATATTTTTACTTATAGTTAAGGTAGACGTATACAGGGTGTATACAAGTTTTGCATAAAAATAACCTTAGGAGATACGGAATTTCAGTTTCCAAAAAAAAAGATGGAATATTGACTGTAATTTGTGTATCTAAAGGGGGTAGTAAGGGCGGGTGAGTAGGTAGAGGAGGGAGTAGGGTTCTATAACGATTAATAACGAGCGTTCAAATAAAAACGTGGTCGAAGTTGGCTTTGACACATTGGACGTAGGGAGTAGCTTATAGCGACCAACTTAACCTCATTTCTCAACGAGCTGTATAGCAGCTGTCAGTTTCAATAACGTTAATGACTATATAACTTTATTTTAAAGAATAATCGTGATAACAATAACAAACAATTAAAGGAGCTGCGGAAAGTGTCCCCCTCCTTGTTATAACAATAAATTAAAGCAGCTGCTGAAAGTGTCCCCCTCCTTGTTCCAAGCACTTTTCACACCTGTTCCTCAAAGAATTAAAGACATTTTCTAAGATGCTCGGGGTATTGTTAATTTCACGAATCTTGTCTATAAGTCGAGCCTGCAGATGGTTTAAATCAGGAATAGGCAGTTCAAAAATAGTGTTTTTAAGGTAAGGCCACAAAAAGAAATCACACGGCGTAATATCACATGACCTCGGTGGAAATTCATGTTCAGCATTGAGACTTATTAGTCGATTTTGGAAAACTTCCCTCAACATATTCATCGTCTCGCCTGCCGTATGTGCCCTTGCGCCATCTTGTTGAAAGTAAAAGTTTGTAATTTCGTTTTCTTCCAGCTGGTTAACAAAAGGAGCGATAATTTCTTCTCTATACCTTTGCGCAGTAAGAGTACCATTAAAAAAAATAGGTCCATAAATCCTCCTTCGATTGAGAGCACACCAAACTCCAATTTTTTGAGCGTGTAGAGGGCCCTCGACAAAAAAGTTATCTGGTTTTTCAGAAGACCACATTCTCATATTCTGTGAGTTTACGTAACCACTTAAATGAAACCAGGCTTCATCAGAAAAAAAGGTGATATTATGAAGTTCACCGTAGTTGTTTAAAAACCATTCACAAAATACAGCCCGTCGCGGAAAATCAACTTCATGAAGTTCTTGCTGACAAGTTAAACGATAGGAGAACAAACGCAAATCTTTTTTTAACACTGTGTGGCAGGTACCGACTGATACTCCCACCATTTGTGATAAAACACGTACAGAAGTTCTTGGCGCATTTTCCATTATTTGTTGGACATTTTCTTTTAATTCTTCAGTCCGCTTTTTAGGTCGGCCGCTTCCTTCTTTTCTTGTTACACTGCCCGTTTCACGAAAAACATTAACACAACGCTGAACTGCACTTTGAAAAATTTTGTACTCAACAACGCCGGGAAATTGATTTTGAAATTCTATGAAACATTCCTCAATAGAATACTTC